GGCTACAGTTCCCGCGGCTGCTGCTTTTGGCAAGTGTGACCTGCCACTCCCTGGCCTCCTGCCTTTTGCAATCTGTCCTTGAAGGAAGTGCCAGCCTTCTGCATCTTTCCAGTAACAGCTCAAACAGTGATCGGGGCTATTGTGAAATCGAAGCTAAAGTAGCCCGATCGCTGGACTTTTGGACTCTCTCCTCTGAAAACCTTATAGGTATACTCTCGCTCAGGTCTGGATATGTGAGTCCCCCGCTTGGGACGTGGGTGTATTGAGTGAGCAGCGGGAAGTTATTTGGTATTTGGTCATGTTGAACCTACTTGTACCCAGCCCTAAGAGATACTGGAGGATGCATGGATCAGTACCCCATATGGGTTGGTTAGAAAGACCTTCTTTGGCTGCATAGCCAGATCTCCTTTTCTCTCCTGCTGAGACAACAAATTTTGATAACGGAAATCCGTGGTGTACTTAAGCATTCGACAGATGCACACACAGCTAATGAGAGTGTGTAAGCAGTAGGCATAGAGACATAAAAGAAACTCCCTGTGCTCAAAAAATTCACTCTTATGTGGAAATAAACCAACAAATGGGTAAATGCAATTTTCTGATACACGGTTCTGATTGTTTTCCTGAACCATGCTTCTTGTGTTCAAGAGTGCAAATGGCTCTAGAGTCAAGCACTTTGTTATTTATTTAGTTTTTAGTTTTTTGCCACAAGGCATGTGAATTCACCAGAGAAAGAGAGAGGGAAAGTGAGAAATCACCCTCCGGGGACGATGACCACACTGCAGTCCCTTCTGTATTCTCCGTATTTTGAGCGCACACGCACACACACCCCTGTGTGATTTTTCAAGCTGCTGGTTCTGGCACTTGAACTGTGCTCGACCATGTGGGAATCCAGTGCCTTAACCACCATGCCACCTGCTGGCCTTACATAATTTATTTTTAAAAGATGGTGTTTTATCGAATAAAAGCATAATAGGATATATGAAAAAGGAAGATGATTTTATGGCCTTTTTTTTTTTTTTTTAGTCTTGGGCAGTACGTAAAGACCCATAAAGTGCTTTACAAATAAAGGTTGTTAAGGTGCACCTGGGACTTACCGAGATACAGGTTAGGTCTGCATGTTAAGAAATACCCAAAGCATGGAATTTGCGAAAGTAGAATACAGCAAGAACAGAAACTGTGCCAGTCCTATGAAACAGGCATTATTGTTCACCGTTTTTGCAGATAGGGAAGCAGAGATAGAGAGGATAACTATCTTTCTCATGCCCACACAGTTGGCAGGTATACCACCATGCAATTCTGTCAGGCCATTTCATTTAGAGATCGCCTGACCAAATTAAAACAAACATGCAGTAGTATGGTAAGTCTAAATCAGGGAAGCAAATGAAGTTCATCAAGGATACCAGTACTCTTTTTTTTTTTGGAGAGGTTTTTGCTATAGGGTGCGTGTGCTTGCCAGACAGACAGAGACAGAAAGCAAGAAATCCCCCTCCGGGGGAGATGGTCACGCTGCAATCCCTTCTCCTTCATTCTCCTCTCGGGATCTTGGGCACGTACGCACACGCTCCCGGCGTGAGTTCTAAGCCACCGGGTCCGGGACGCAAACTGTGGTCAACTACGTGAGAGTCCAGCGACATAGCCATTACACCAACTGCTGGTTCCCAGGATACCAGTACTCTTGAATAGCTAAATTCTTGAAAACAGCAATCTATATATAGGCTACGTGGAATTCAGTAGTTCCTTTTACCCAGCTAGGCCAAGCATGAGGCTAGGAAGTTAAATGTGTCACCTGAGCTGTTCAGGTACCTGGTAAAGCACACAATTCTGTGCATAAGTCTAAAAACAACTATGGACTTTTTTTTTTTTTTTTAACTGCACTTATACAGATGAGACAACCAGTACTGATGGGTTCACATGGACCAAGCATGTCTTTTTTTTTTTTTTAAATACTGGAGGGTGTGACTACATGAGAGAGAGAGACAGAGAGAAAGAGAGAATACCCCATCTGGGCATGGTCATACCACAATCCTTTTTCTTCCATCTCTATCCTGTCAGGATTTGGGGCACCCATACATATGTACCCAGTAAATTTTTTAACCTACCAGGCTGGGATTCCGACCTCCATCATCCCTTAACCGCTGTGCTAAAGGGCTGCCCTAGAAAGCATTTTTGAAGTTGTCATTTTTTCAGAGATTTTTGCTATAGGGAATGTGTGCTCGTCTGAGAGACAGAGACAAAGACAGAAAGTGAGGAATCATCCCCCAAGGAGGATGGCCATGCCACAATCCCTTCTCCATTCTCCCCTCAGGATTTTGGGCATGAATGCATACATGCCCGTTGTGAATTTTAAGCCAGTGGGTCCAGGACTCGAACCAGGTCGATGATGTGGTAGTCTAACAATGTAACCATTACATCATTTGTTGGTTCCATCAGAATTATCATATTAATGCTGGATTATTGGCTACACTTTAGGACATTTTATTGCCACATCGATCGTACTTTTCAAAACATTACCTACCTAGAAGCAGGTTTTTACAGCCAAGGAGAGGTTGCAAATAAAATAGTATGCATATATTACCATGTCTTGGTTCACAGTATTGTATGAAACATTCAGATGTTATTAAATGATCAATGCATTAAGGTAACTTGGGTAAAAATATTGAGAGAAAGGTTTCAAACAGTTGCACTGAAGGTTTAACAAGCTTTTTGGATTCCACATTCTTCTACAAAACTGAATTCTACAGCATTTAATTTTGCAATTACTGATTTCCCCTTGGTGTTAAGATAAAGGGTTAAAATGCTTTGGAACTATCTCAGGGGTTTTTAGTCTGTGACTGACTTGTTGGTTAAAGTATCACAGGAGATGGGCCAGCATGTGGTACAGTTGTTGGGGTGCTGGACTCCCACATGTCCAGCCATGGTTCGAGTCCCAGACCGGCAGCTTGAAACTCACACTGGGCATGCTCAAAATCCAGAGAGGAGAGTGGAGGCGAAAGGATTGGGGGATATGGCCATCTGTCCTGGGGATTAATTTCTCGCTTTTTGTCTTTCTGTCCAGTGAGCACACACACCCTATGAGCAAAAGTCTGAAAAAAAAAAAAAAAGTTTCACAGGAGTGAAGTGCTAATCCCTGAAGCAGTTCCTCTTAGTCAAGTGATCACTTGTACTGACTGGTCAGTTAGATTGACAAAACGTATGTCAATTAATATAAAATCTAACTTCTAATGGAACAATAATATATTGTCCACCCTACTAATTATGGAGAGAACATCAATTATATAATTTAGTCTATTTCTACACAGAAATTCTCCTAGGAGAGAAGGAAATTAACCATTAGTCTTTTATTCAGATTGTTAGGTTTTCTAACAATATGATAGGTGCTAAAAGCATCCTTTTTTTTGTTTTATATTGGCTGCTGTTTTGTTCTCCCACGATGGTACCTTATTCAGCATGCACTTAGGGAAAACATAAAGGTCTAAATCTGATATGCACTGACCGATTTCTGTTACTCATTTGAGGAAGACAGGAGATTAGTTTTGTTATAACCAACATTTAGTCCACCTACGCTTGGATGGATTAAATTGGAGTTACTCTAAACCATTGAGCAAATTGTTTTTAATGCCACCTTTTTCTAATGGTTTAAAATATCATTATCATTATATAGGACATTCTTCTATGACTTATGACTTTGAATGGCCTCTTTGCTTTTTATTGAGTTCCATTTATCTTTGCACCAATTTTTGGTATAACATTATTTTTAATTATTATATGGTTGTAATTTTTAATAGGATAAACAATCTTCTCATTTGTCTTATTTTAAAAACTTAATCTGTTTTTCCAGATTTGTTCTTTAAAATTGTCTGTTTCTTTAAAAAAAAAATCCTACTAGGATTTAAATGGATTTTTGTTATGTTTTTTTTTTTTTTTTGGAGAGATTTTCACTGTAGGGTGCGTGCGCTCGCCAGACAGACAGAGAGAGACATAGAGACAGAAAGCGAGAAATCACCCCCCAGGGGGGATGGTCACGCCGCAATCCCTTCTCCTCCATTCTCCTCTTGGGATCTTGGGCACGCACGCACACGTGCCCGGCGTGAGTTTTAAGCCACTGGGTCCGGGACACGAACTGCGGTCGACTACGTGGGAGTCCAGCGACATAGCCATTACGCTAACTGCTGGTTCCCGATTTTCGTTATGTTTTATTAAATTACTTGGTAACAAATTTTGACAGTATAATCTTATTAACTAACCAAACCATGTGGGTGGGAATCAGTCACTTGCAGTCTGACCCATGCTATTTATCTAGGAGAAAGACTTTACAAAGGCTTTATTTTAGGAGATGTCATCCACCCAGCAAGGAGCTGACTCACTCAAAGGACTGTCTCCTCAAGTGTATTTAGGAGATGGCCTTTTATAGAGGAATAATTCCTGCTCAAATTTTCAGCCAAGTCTGTGTATACAAATGAAGCTTTGAACTTATGCTGTCCTGATTGGTGAATTTGAGCAGTATTCCCATTGGTCCATTATTGAAACTGGTATGTCCTGATTGGTCACTGTGTGGCAGCCAGCCACACTCCTTGCCTTGCTGGTCAGCTTTAGGTCCCATGGCCTTTCCAGCACAGGCCCCCTCCAAGCAAACCCACACAACAGCTGTCCACACCAGATCTCTCCCATCCAAGCTAGTTCTGGCCAGTTATAATCTCTACCCTACGATAGGTTTTTGTGTCTTTTAGTCTTGAAGTTTTTTGTTTGTTTTGTGTTTTTAAAATACACCTACACTCTTCTCTGTGTGTGTGTTTTAATGTTTTTGATGAGGAAAACAGATTAATGAGTTTTAGAATTGTGTGTAAAATTACAGTAAATATATTTTGAGTACCTAATAATGTTGGAAGCACTCTTTTCCTCTGACTTTTAAAATTCAGTACATGTGGTTTAGTAAATGAATTTATGAAGCTTAGTTTGTCCCTGTAGAGACAACTTTTAAGTTTCTATCCTTGTAAGCAGGCATGTATCCAAGTTTTGAAGTTTCTTCTAAAACCCAGAGCAGTATTGTACATTTAGTAAACCATGGGTTGCGAGGTCTTTGAGTTACTTTCGTATGTGTCTGTTTTCTTCAGTTAATTGTGAGTGTCAGTGTTCTGTTTTCTTCAGTTAATTGTCAGGGTAGAAGACGTGATTAAGAGCCATATATCTATATATATATTTCAAAAAAAATTTTAGAGGTTTTTGCTACAGGGCGCATGCACTTGCCAGAGAGACAGAGAGCGAGAAATCACCCCCCAGGGGGGATGGCCATGCTGCAATCCCTTCTCCTCCATTCTCCTCTCGAGATCTTGGGCACGCATGCACACGCGCCCGGCGTGAGTTTAAGCCTCCAGGACTGGGACTTGAACCACAGTCGACTACATGGGAGTTCAGCAACATAGCCAATACGCTAACAGCTGGTCCCAAGAGTTCAATCTATTTTGACTAGGACTATAATTATTAGTTTTAAAAAAGATTTATTTATTTAATTCCATTTCTTATTATAAAAAAAAAAAATTTTAAAGAGTTTTTTGCTGTAGGGCGTGTGCACTTGCCAGAAAGACAGAGAGAGACAGAGAGACAGAAAGTGAGAAATCACCCCCCAGGGGGGATGGCCACACTGCAATCCCTTCTCCTCCATTCTCCTTTAGGGATCTTGAGCATGCACGTACACATGCATGGCATGAGTTTAAGCCACTGGGTCCGGGACTTGAACTGCAGTTGACTACATGGGAGTCCAGCAACATAGCCATTACACCAACTGCTGGTCCCTTATTTTTTAATTTGGGAGAGACAGAAAGAGAAAGGGAAAATAAGAAAGCAAGCTGCCTGGTCTGGAACTTGAATCTCGGTGTGCCATGAGGGAATCCAGTACCTTTAACCACCATGCCACTGCTGGTCCTAGGACTATAATTTTAATACTGTAATGCAGCCCACCTCTATTTTATTCATTAATATTATTTATAAGTATTGCACATCATGTTTGTCTGCCACAAATGAAAATCTTTGTAGAAAGGATATGTATATTGTTATTTTTAACTTTTCTCATCCTCTTAAACAGTTTTATATACTATACTGGATAAATATTGGGTAGTGTTGAAAATGATACAGTTGCCTTTGAGTAGCAAAATGTAAAGAACATAGTGGTTTAAATTGGTTTTCCTGAAGAATCAGAGTCTTTCTAAAGAATGTTATTGCTATATATGCAACATTAAGATGGATTTTTTTTTATTATTAGCTGTGCTGCCAGTTGATCCTGTTAAAGAAAATTATGTTCGTAAAGTGAAAAACTGTATTTTTTCAATTGCCTTCCCTACTCCTTTCAAATCAAGAGTACGTCTTGTAGCAGTTTCAAAGGTTAGGCTTTATTTCTTTATACCACAAATATTTAAGTCAATAAAACATTTGTCTAAAAAGATGTAATTTTGGGGGAGTTAATATTGTTAGTCTTATTAATAAATGACTATCTTTGTGTTTCAAAATAAGATGGAGACTGTTATCCTTTGAAATGACTTTTTTGTATTTATTCCTGAAGCATAGTACTCAGTTTCATTTTAAAGATATAAGGAAAATACACTTTTGTGAATAAAGGGGAAAATGAGTTAAATTCTTATGTTAGTTAACTTTTTTTTTTCTTTTTGGAGAGGTTTTTTCGCTATAGGGCGTGTACGCTCGCCAGACAGACAGAGAGAGACATAGAGACAGAAAGTGAGAAATCACCCCCCAGGGGGGATAGTCACACCGCAATCCCTTCTCCATTCTCCTCTCATGATCTTGGGCACGCATGCACACGTGCCCGGCGTGAGTTTTAAGCCACCGGGTCTGGGACTTGAACCGCACTTGCCCATGTGGGAGTCCAGCAACATAGCCATTATGCTAACTGCTCGTTCCCATCTTAGTTAACTTTTAGAAGTGGTCTGTTGTGATATAAATGAATTCCAGATAAAACTAGGACATTTAGAGTTTTCTAATTTTCTAATTCCTTAAAAGAATACAAGGGGACTTTAAAAAGTTTGTGGAAAATGGAATTAAAGTATGAGTGTATTTTTGTACAAAAACATTAGCTTAGTTTTTTTCCCGTAATACACATTTTTCATGCAGTTTCTAATAACCCCTGTACGGTCAAGGAAATCCATGAAAACTTTAGGACTATCTAATAGAGCTAATTTTTCTCAAATAGCATAAATAATCATAAAAAGTATGATCTGCTTCTAATGAAAAGCTGTTAATAAGAGGTTTATTTTAATTTTTTCTATGTGTTTTTTTTTTTTCCTCAAAAATTATTTAAAAATCACTTAAATTTGTAAGATTTCTTTTTCCTTTCTCAGGAAGTTCTAGAAGATATTTTGGATCTTGACTTAACTGTGTCGGAAACAGATGGTTTTATCCAGCTTGTAAGTGGCGAAAAGATAGTGTCTGGATCTGTTCCGTTGACTCACCGATACGGGGGCCACCAGGTGAGTAGAGACAGCAGCAGTTCTTTTATGCAAATATAAACATTCGGTGGAAATGCTGTCCTATTTAAATGATTTCGCATTAATTTCTCTAACATTAGTTAATGGAGACATCAATGAGATGTTTCTGGAAGAACGTGTCATGTTAAGATACTTATAGATGAACTGACATGATTTCTTGCTAGAGCCTAAATTTTAAAAGTGAAATTGAAAGGGCCAGACCCATAGTCTGGTGGCTGGGGGAGCTGGCCACATGGCCACCCATGGTTCGAATCCTGGCCCTGGCAGCTTGAAAAACACATGGAGAACTTGCATGTGCTCCTCAAGGTCCTGACAGGATGGAGGATGGATGAGAAGGCATTATGGCATTACCAAACCCCATTGGAGGGTACTTACTCTCTGTCTCTGTCTCTGTCTGGCAAGTGCATACATCCTCTGGCAATTGGGTGGGGGAAGAGAAGGGAGAAAACTAGAACAGCACAAATAGAAAATTTTTGTGAATTATTAGTAGAGAACTCACAGTTTTGACAAGAGATTAGGTAAAATTAAATATCACAATGTGTCTATATAGAAGCCCTAGAAGGTCAAAAGATTATAATTTTGTCAGGATAACTGTTGTGGAACTGCTAGAGAGGCAGTAAATCAAGATTTATGGAGGGGAGAGGGAGCATATAATGCCATAGGGATCACGAAGCAATGAAGACATTCTAGAAATAGAGCGAGACGTTGAAACAAATTCAGGGTATAGTATCTGACTCATTAAAAAAGGAAGAAAAGAAATGGACACATAGAACCAATTCTTGGAATTTGTGAACTTTTTCTGTAAGCTGCATAAAGTTAAATTTTTTTTTTTTTATTTTTTAAAGAGATTTTTGCTATAGAGTGCGCAAGCTTGCTGGAGACACAGACAGAAAGTGATTAAGCATCCCCCAGGGGGATGGCCACACCACAATCCCTTCTCTTCCTTTCTTCTCTCAGGGTCTTGGGCATGCATGTACACGTGCCTGGCATGAAGTTTAAGCTGCCAGGTCTGAGACTTGAACCTCAGTTGACTATGTGAGAGTCCAGTAACATAATCATTATGCTACCTGCTGGTTGCACATAAAGTTAATTTAATACTGTGATTGTTTTGGAGCTGTTTTCAGCAATGTTTGTTTCCTAGGAATAATTTTTAGGACAAGTAGTAATATTTAAATATATAGTCATAATTAAATTAGATTTGATTTGGTATGAGGATTAAATTAGGAAATTGTGAAAAGTGCTTTTATGTTAGCTATTGTAATATTATAACATCAAGTTCTGGTTTGTTGGATCAGTTAATTCCTTTCTTCGAAGTCCTATAGGCTAAGAAGCAAAGTAATAAACACCATTAGCAATGAAAAGGTGGGGGCCTTCAGGTGGTGTGGTGGTTTAGGTGCTGGACTCTCACATGGCCAACTGCAATTCGAGTCCTGGACCTGACAGCTTGAAAACCACCCCGGGCGCATGTACGTGCGTGCCCAAAATCCCAGGAGCAGAATGGAGGAGAAAGGACTGTGGCATGACCATCCCCCCTTGGGGATGATTTCTCACTTTTCCTCTCACTGTTTCTGTCTCTCTCTCTGAGTGCATTCCATATGGCAAAAACCTTAAAAATATAAAATAAATGAAAAGGACTTGAAGGATCATCCATGACCAGCTCGAAGCTCAGTTTCTTGATCTGTAATGTGAAAGAGTTGGCCAAGATCAGTCCAGGAGCCTTAAGAAAGAAATCTGCTTAGTTGCATTTAACACGTGATTTTACAACATATTTGACTTCATAGTTTTATTGTTATTTCGTCTTTAAGGAATAACCATGAATCTCCTACTAAATCATGTTTCTTTTCTTTTTCCACATTTTTTTTTATTGCCAGAAGACTTATGCGCTCACTAGAGAGAAAGAGAGAGAGAGAGAGAGAGAGAAAGAGACAAGACAGAGAGAAAGCATCCTCCCAATGAGGTGTGGTTATAACACAATCTTTTTCATCCATTTGTTCTTCCCCTTTTTTTGTGCACGTGTGCACGCGCGCATGCACACACACACACCTGCTTGTTTTCTAAGCCTCTTGATTTGGAGTGAACCTTGGTCAGCCAAGTGGGATCTGGCTTCCTTAACTACTGAGCTACTAGGCTGGCTCTGAACCATATTTGTTAGTTTAGAAACTTTGGATCCTTATGGTCTTTTCTAGTACCCAAATGCAGGGATTCCATGGTTTAAAACTCCAACTCCCATGTGGGTTAAATTTATTTGAAAGTATTTTATTGCCAGTACGCAAATGTAGTGTTAAAGTTTAAAAACAAACCTTAAGCTCTGAGGAGTCTCATTGAGTCATTCTTTTTTTTTTTTTTTTTTGGTTAGTATAGCAACTTAGATTAAAGTTTTTTTCACATTCATCTTTTGCTTCTCCCTGATCTAAGTTATGCTATACATATTTATTTATAAGGATGGCTTTGCTGTTCTGAACTTACAGCGCAATAAATGATGTCGCTTGTAAAGATGGAGAATTAGCTTCCCAATTTCCCTGATTTTACTTTCGGCTTTGGATTGTCCCCTTTCTACTTCCCTCTCATAGTATGGGACATACTTAGTGTACTTTAACTTATTAAAATAAAAAAAGACTATTTAATTTAGTGGAGTTGAATTGAGCAAATCTAAACATGATTTGAGACAGAGTTTCCTGGACCAACTTCCAAGCAACTCTGGGTAGTCTCATGGTTAGCTCGGTATTTTAAATTCCAGAAGGGGAAAGTGATGTACAAAAGCTAGAGTAAAGGAATAAGCTAGAAAAGCAATTTGCATTGGTTACATTTTGAAGTTTGTATTAACACAGCTTAAATAGCGGGATGCCTGTGATTGACTGAAGCCTCACTACTGTGGTTGTCTGTAACCCAGCAACCAACCAAAAAGCAGCCTTATCTAAATGAGGTTGCAATTTGTTTACAGAAACCAAGCAAGAGTATGGAGGCTTTTTCAATATTTAGCACACCTTTAGACCTGTCTAGAGAATGCTGAGAGCACCTCCCAGAATCATGCTCTTACAGATGTTCTGTTGCTAAAAGTAATTTGTGGTGGTTTGTTCCTGGTTATTATGGTTTGAAATGCTCCCCCCCCAAAGTTCATGTGCTGGAAACATAACCCCCAAATTCATATGTTGATGGAATTTGCAGGTGGGGCTTCTGGGAGATAATTTGGATTAGATAAACTCATCAGGGTGAGGCTCTCCTGATGGGACTAGCGGGTTTAGAGGAGGGGAGACCTGAGCGGACCTGCACTGGCTCCCCTTCCATTGTGACACCCTCTGCTGTGTTACAGAACAGCACCAAGGCCCTCACTGGATGCAGTCCCTCCATCTTGGAATTCCCAGCCTCCAGAACCTTGAGATAAATCACTCTCTTTTCTTTATAAAGCACTAGGGTCTGGGGTATTCTGCTATACCAACAGAAAACAGACTAAGGCAGTAGTTAAGATACAAAATGAAAAATACCAGATAGATTTTTCTCAATTTCTTGTTTTTCTTCCCTAACTTTCAGCATCATTGAAGCATTCAACAACTGTTTATAGAACTCCTTTTATATGCCAGGAGTACAATGATAATGACCTGTCCCTTTCCTTAAATTGCCTGTGTTGTAAGGGAGGTGCTAGGTGAATACACAAATCCCAGTCACACTAAAGTTGAGATAGAAGTGTGGGCATTATGGGAACTCACAGGACCACCCTTCTAGTCCTGGAACATCAGAGATGACTTTCTGCTGGAGTGACATCTATGTTGAGAATGTAGCAATGTCTAAGTTAGCAAATGATTGTTGGCAATAGCAGTAATAATAATAATGACCACCTTCGGGGTGCTCGTGAATGTCAGACACAGTACAAGTCGCTTAGCATACATTAGTGTTCATTCATAGCCACCTGGCAAACATTATCCCATTTCACAGGAAGGAAAGTCAGTCTGAGGAGATTAACTGAAACACATTTCCACCATTGGTCAGTGACATACCAGGGAACTGAGCAACTGCCAATTATTTTTTAAAAAATGTACTTATTTATCTTTTTACTTGTTGTGATTTTCAAGTCACAGGGTCCAGAACTCGGCCATGTGGGAATCCAGTGCCTTAACCACCACGCCACCTACTGGCACTGCAAATAAATTTCAACATAAAGGTTTGGAAACAATTATACAGGTTCTAAAGTTTTTTAGATACAAGTATGCTCATATTGCTTACATACAATATAGGCCAATTTTCTATTATTAGATATTAACAAATTATTCCTAGTTAGTATTTGTCTTAGTTTAGTTCAACGTGTTATAACAACTTACCTGAGAGTAAGTGATTTTTAAACAGTAGGACTTCACCTGATTACAGTTTTGGAGACAGAGTAGGAGTGGTGGCTGGACTTCTCATACTGCCTGGGGCCCTCATGATCTAATGGCTTCTTAAAATCTCTATCTCCCAATATTATTACATTGGCAATTAGAGTTCAGCATGAATTTTGGAGGGGACATTCAAACCATAGCAGTATATATATTTTTAATTGTCAAGAGTTGCACGCACTTCCCAGAGAGACAGACAGAAAGCATCCCCCTACAGAATACGGTCACACCACAATCGTTTCTCCTCCATTTCTTTATCCCATCAAGATTTGGGGCATGCTGGAACCAGAAGATGACGTAATGGTTACATTGCTAGGCTCCCAAGTAGTTGACCATGGTTTGAGTCCCAGATCCAGTGACTTAAAACTTACGCCAGGCGCTTGCGCGTGTGTGTCCAAGATCCTGAGAGAAGAATGGATTGTGGATGGCCATCCCCTTGCAGGGCAATTTCTCGTTTTCTGTCTCTCTGTCTCTCTTTCTGGTGAGCACATGTGCCCTATAGCAAAAATCTCTCTTAAAAAAAACAGAAAGAAAAGTGTCTGTGGCATGCCTGCACACATCCTCAGCATGTTTCTTAAGTCACTGGGCAGATATTCGTACCACAGCTGGCCATGTGAGATCTGGCTTGCAATGCACAGAGCTTCACCCCTGCACTATGGGACACCCCTGCAATATTCTTTAATTCCATAGATCAGTTTGAGGTATTGTACACCTAATGAATTTAAGTGTAAAGTGGTGAAAAAAATGAATGTTCTAAAATCACATTTTATTAAGTAAATTTATGTTTTATAGACTGAATTTTATTTTCCCGTACATTCCAGTGGTTGATAGTAATTATCCTGAACATGCAATACCTCATTCTCGATTTTAACAAGATGACCTTGGCTATAAAAATTATTGTTAACAGCCATAAGGACTAAGAAACATTAATCATTGTCCTTTTTTTCCTTTAGTTTGGGATATGGGCAGATCAGTTGGGGGATGGAAGAGCCCACCTTATTGGAATTCATGTGAATAGGTACCACATATTTTCTCATATGATAGCTATTCTGCTAAATAGTAACATACACATGGATTTTCTGATAATGTGTGTGCGCATGTGTTTGTCTTTTTTAGGAAAGGTGAAAAGTGGGAACTCCAGTTAAAAGGCTCAGGAAAGACCCCATACTCCCGGTATAGTTTGGTACTTATTTTGGTCATGTAAATAAAAATCGATGGGGTCTTAATGGCAAATGAAAAAATGTTACACTTTATTTCCTGTAGAAATGGTGATGGTAGAGCTGTACTTCGATCCTCAGTGAGAGAATTTTTGTGCAGTGAAGCCATGCACTACCTTGGGATTCCAACCAGCAGGGCTGCGAGGTAATAGCTCCTTCCTTGAAGCTAACTCCCAGGACTACGACATGGTATCTCCGGAAATGTGTCGGTAATCTGAGCAGATACGTTCTAATAACATGATTTCTTGTAGTTGCTTACTGTTTCAAGTATTTATAGATAGTCTGATGCAGTTAAAATGTAACTTTAATTATTGGATTCTCTTGTTTCAGTCTGGTCGTAAGTGATGATGAAGTATGGCGAGATCAGTTCTACAATGGAAATGTTGCAAAAGAACGAGGTAATGACAGATTTTAGAATACTTACATATAGTTAGACCAAGTTTTTAAAGATATTGGACATCTTTTCAGTCATCTTAAAAACACACACACAGGGAACCAGCAGTTAGCGTAATGGTTATGTCGCTGGACTCTCACATAGTCAACCGCGGTTCGCGTCCCGGACCCGGTGACTTAAAACTCATGCCGGGCGCGTGTGCGTGCGTGCCCAAGATCCCTTAGAGGAGAATGGAGGAGAAGGGATTGTGGCGTGACCATCCCCCCTGGGGGGTGATTTCTCGCTTTCTGTCTCTATGTCTCTGTCTGTCTGGCGAGCGCACGCGCCCTGTAGCAAAAACCTCTCCAAAAAAACCAAACCAAAACCAACCAAAACAAAACAAAACAACAACAACAAACACACACACACACACACACACACACACACACACCGGTTAGGGGGGGCTGGTCCCATAGCCTAGTGGTTAAGGGAGCCAGATCTCACATGGCTGACTATGGTTCTAATCACTGCCCTGGCAGCTTGATAAAGTACCCTGTGCTTGTGTGTATCCATGCCCCAAATCCTGACAGTATGCAGGGATGGAGGAGAAGGGATTGCAGTATACTGTGCCCCCATTGGGAAGTGCTTTCCCCCGCTCCCCATCTCAATGCAAACATCCTGTGGCAAAATAAATAAGTAAAAAAAATAACAACAACAAAACAACAACCCAGAACTATATTATAATATCCTTACATCACCAATCTATCCATTTCAAACAGCACACATCTGATTTTTATTTACATGACCAAAAATGTACCAAACTATGCCAGGATTATGGGAGTGAACTGAAAGTGTTACGAACAGCTGGCAAAATGTTACAAAGCAGGTGCTAGGAAGTCCATTCTTCCCCCCAGGAGAGCCCTCAGACTGCTCCTCAGAGCCCAAATGCTATTACTATTAGGTTTACTTCTAATGAACTGTGTTAGCTTTTCCTTAGTTCCTAGTTGTTTAGAAATAAAAAATTAGGAAGGGGAAAAAATTAAAAAGTGTGCTGTAGAGGCACTCTTAGGGTGGCAAAAAGAGAGGGAGACTTCACTCTGAATTTTGGGGGAGGGAAGGAGACCTGAACATCAACAGTAAATATATTTTAACAGCTTAAAAAGTGGAGCTAGTGAGGGGCCAGCAGGTGGATTGGTGGTTAAGGGTGATGGACTCCCATAAGACTGACTGCAGTTCAAGTCCTGGACCTGGTGGCTTGCTTTCTCACTTTCTCTCTGTCTGTCTGTCCCTCTCTGGTCAAATTTAAAATAAATAGATAATAATTCTTTTTTTTTTTTTTTGGAGAGGTTTTTGCTATAGGGCACGTGCGCTCGCCCGACAGACAGACAGAGAGATAGAAAGCGAGAAATCACCCCCCAGAGGGGATGGCCATGCCGCAATCCCTTCTCCTCCATTCTCCTCTTGGGATCTTGGGCACGTACGCACACGCACCCGGTGTGAGTTTAAGCCACTGGGTCCGGGACTCGAACCGCAGTCAACTACGTGGGAGTCCAGCGACATAGCCATTACGCTAACTGCTGGTCCCGATAATAATTCTTAAAAAAAAAAAAAAAAGTGGAGCTTATGAGAACCATTGACAGTCCTATGTGGGACAGCATTCTCAGTTCTTTTCACAGTGGGTCACTTAGAATACATTTGATGTCTTTATATTTAGTGTATGATACATGCTTTAGTCTGTTGGGACTGCCGTAACAAAATACCTTAGACTGGGTCATTTATAAACAACAGAAGTTTGTTGCTCACAGTTCTGGAATTGGAGTCAGAGTGTTTAGAACCATGTACGTTTAGAAACATATTCCTTTTTCCTGTCCATCATTAATGTGATTGCACCATGGTGGCTCCTGGGCAAATATTAGGGTAAAGGCACAATGGGAGCATCTGTATATAAGAGAGGACTTAGATATGGAAATTCTGTGAGTGATCTTATGGAGAAATCCTTGAGACCATTTGCAACCATTAAGATTGGAGCTTATGGGACCAGCAGTTAGCATAATGGCTATGTCGCTGGACTCTCATGTAGGCGACTGTAGTTCGAATCCCGGACCTGGTAGCTTAAAAATCACGCCGGGCGCATGTGCGCCCAAGATCCCAAGAGGAGAATGGAGGAGAAGGGATTGCGGCATGTCTATCGTCCCCAGGGGGTGATTTCTCACTTTCTATCTCTGTCTTTCTTTTGAGTTCACGCACCCTATAGCAAAAAAACAAACAAACAAACAAACAAACAAAAAAACTCCAAAAAAAATAAAAAGATTGGAGCTCAGAATAAAGATGAACATAACATAATCACAGTCAATAAAGGGAAGTACTGCAGCCAGCACCACTTAACCAGGTGGTTAAGATACTGTATTCCCACTTGGTCGACCATGGTTTGAGTCCTGGACCCGGCTTGCTTTCTTACTTTCTCTCTGACTGTCTCTTTCTGGTGAGCTCATATGTCCCATAGGCGATTTTTAAAAAATGGGGCCAGCAGGTGGCTTGGTGGCTAAGGGTGCCAGACTCTTAACATGACTGACTGCAGTTCAAATCCTGGACCTGGCGACTTGCTTTCTCACTTTCCTTTCTTGTCTCTCAGTCTCTCTCTGGTCAAATGAAGAAATAATAATAAATAAAGTTAAATAGAATAGTTATTTTTTAAAAAGAAAAATTTAAAAATAATAAATAAAATCAAATAAATAATTCTTTTTTTTTTTTTTAAAAAGATAAGTACTGTTACACCAGTCATATTTCTTTTTTTAAGGTTTTTGCCATAGTGTATGTTTACTTGCCGGAGAGAGACAGAAAAAGACAATGAAAGGGAAAGTGAAAAATCACCTCTGGGGGATGACCATGCTTCAGTCCTGTCTCCTCCATTCTCCCAGGATTTGGGCATGCACACAAATGCACCTGGCATGATTTTCAAGTTGCCAGATCTAGGACCTTGTGAGAGTCTAGTGCCTTTATGACTACACCACCTTCTAGTTCCTACACCAGTCATATTAACAGTCTGTGGTTGGAATCTCATATCCAGTAACCATAACAAGAAGACCCAAATAGTTGTTATGTCCGTGTGCAACATGGTCATTTTCCAGATGAAAGTAAAGGGGATGGAGAGATGCTTTAAAGATAAATAACTCTCAGGGCCCACATGTGACATGGTGGTTAAGGTATTGGACTCCCACCTGGTGTACTGTGGTTTGAATTCTAGACTCGGTGGTTTGAAACTCAGGCTAGGCTCATGTACATGCATGCCCAGAATCCCAAGAGGAGGATGGCAGAGAAGGGATTGTGGCATGGCCATCCCCCGGGGGATGATTTCTCAATTTCTCTCCATCTGCCTGGCAAGTGCACGTGCTCTATGGCGAAAAAAATCTCTCCAAAAATAAAAGAAATAATTCTCGGTTCCTTTAAGCATGAGTACTTAGAATTAAAGCAAAAGAGGCCGCGGGGCGCGGCGGA